AGAGAGATTTGAAGACAGCAATGAGAGCTGGAGTATTAATCAGGGAAGAATGGTAATGAGAAGGTTAATACAGAAGAGACACTGCATCTAGCAGTATTGTAGATGTCAAAGAGAGCAGAAAGAAAAAAAGAACCCTGCAGAAATGTATATTATAAGATATGTAATACTTTTACATTTTATTAAATACACAAGATTAAAACATTTGAAAAAGATAAGGGAGGTGTTGGTTCTTTCACTAATTAGTATTTGAGCTTCCTAATTTGCCTTTAATTTTAAAAATTAAATCTTCCATGTAATGCTTCTTGCCAAGTATAAATGCTTAAAAATCTCTTGTTCTGTTTTCCTTTTTGAGCTAATTCTAGTTTCTAAGGCAGTAGTTAATTCAGCTCAGGCATGAATATTATTTTTGCCTACACATTTGGAAAGAACACACCTAAAGGTCTTACACTTGAGTTGTGTATGGGATATACCAGTGATTCTCAATCAGGGGTGCCACGCCAGATGCTCTGAAGGGTGCCATGAGGTGTGAGGAGAAAAGCAGGGTATGAAAATATAAGCAGATAAGGTCAGGCTCAGGCTTGTCAGAGTCTGACCAATCCCCCACTCCCAGTGCCTGGCCCCTTTGCAAGGAGGTAAGCACTGTAATATATATATTAGTTTTTGAAACTGGGTGCTACTACACTTGCAAAAGTTATGGAGGGGTAACTTGAATCTAAAAAGATTGAGAACCATGGGGATATACATACACTTCCTTTATAAGTCATCATCACTCACAGGAAACTGGCTAGCAGCATGTAAGATAGACAGATGTACTTCTGTTGCAATATGCAATGTTTTGAGCAAGTCCAATCTCTTACTTCATAGACAGAACGTTCCCTATGAAGAATACACACGTCTTCAGAAAAGGCTAAAGGATTTGCAGCGCAGACACAATGAATTCCGGAGTTTAATTCTGGTTCCTAACATACCGTCACTCAATCCAGTCAGTATAACGTCATCTACCTTGATCCCTGTGCCTGAAGTCTCTTTTCCACATCTGCAGGTGAGGATGTATTAAATGAATGTTATACAGACTCAAATTTATTATTTTATATCTTGGAATAAAAAGGCAATTGGACAGAAATACAAATAGTGACCATAAGAGAGATTTTATATATACAACACTCTTTCCTTTGTACGTTTAAGTATCCTGTCCATAATATATATATATATACACACACACATGTTTTTATATCATTGTATTTCTGTCCAATTGCCTGTATTGTCAGTGGACAGGATACTTAAACCTACAAAGGGAAGAGTGTTGTCCAGTCTGTGAACTAACTTTCAGATTCATATGGAGACACTGAAAAATGCATCTCCTCACAGCAAATCTGATTCCTTCAGTTCATTTTTGCAATCTGAAGTTACTGATGTATAGGTAATATTGAGAGCAGCACGGGCAGTCTACTGACATAGAACAACTCTTTCTTGAAAACTGGAGTATCTTCCGTTTCATGAAATTGCTCCAGGACTTCAGAAAGTTAAAAAATTGGACTTGTAAAGTTACTTATAGAGGACATGGGTCACCAACAATGGCCCTGTATGCATTGTAAAATAGCACAAATCTAATTTTTTGGTTTGTCCATAACTTCAAGGAGGAGCAGCATCAAAGGGAGCTTTCCTTGCTTCGCAAGCGACTGGAGGAGCTAGAAACCACACAGAGAAAACAACTCCAAGAGCTTGGGCCATCTGGAGAGCGAGGTAGGCTGGGACTGCACAGTGACGCTGGCAGAAACAGGATAGTTGAAGAGGACAACACACAAAATGAGGACTCCAAATAAAGCGTACAAGATTTAATTGCTGCTTCCTTGTAAGTGCTTTTTAGTACTTTGCCACAAACATATGGATGTGCATCAGACTAGAAGAAATATATTCTGCATAATTTTCTATGTATTTTTGATAGAACATAATGGTTTGTCAAGCACTAACTTGAGAGAGAAAAACTAAGAAAAAATTGTCTTCCAAATTAATTATTTATATATACCAAAATAAAGCATATAGAAAGATCATGTTGTAAAAGCCTTTTAAAGAATATTTATCAAGGTTTTTTGGATCGTGTTAACATGTTGTTTTAAGAAAACCAAAAAAATACAACACAAGTTATTCCCAGTAATTTTTCCAGACAACTCTTGGAAACAAGTGAAGAGGGAGGCTGGAGTTGTTATGTTTGGCTGCTAGCACATGCAGAAGGGCAGATGAGGAAAGCAGGCCAAAAAGTGGATTTGCTATTCATGACAATCCAAGTCTCTTTCATGACTCAATTATGAGAGAAGCAATAATCAAGTTTTTAACAAATGCTGCATTGTAGACATATGCATATTTGCCTTTTTCAGGAATCCTAAGTTTGTATTTGTAGCTAATGGGTTGTGTGTCTGTTTTACTTATCATTAACATATTTATCTATTCAAGGGTTAATATATTTTCTTAACTCTCCACTTTTTCTTGTATTATTTTCCCTTCTAACATCACTGAACTTCAGTGGATTTTTTATAACCAGTAAGTAAAAATCTTCCTACTAGTGTGGTAACAGTTCTTCACTCGCATTCTAAAAATAGCTATGAGCATGTGCAGTGGTTGACCAAACAGGAACATTACTTTCTTTTTTAATGGTTTATCCCATACTGTTTAAAAATGCATCCCTTTCAGATAAATACTGCAGAGTGAGCAGAAGACTGAGCGGCTAATGACACGAGCTGGCACTTTTCCAGTAGCATCTATCCAAACTCTTCTCTTCACCATCTGCATTTCCAGCTTCCCATAGATCATGTACATTTGAGTACTATAATAATAATAATGTTTTTCTGGGAAAAAAGTCTTAAATTATACACACTATCGCTACAGAATATAAGCTATAGCAGTATTCTTCAGCAGTGTAATTGTTTAAAATAGTAGAAGCTGTCACTGAAAACTTCAGGAGGAATAGTCTGGAATACTAACCCAATCCTTATTTGCATCTGAGGTAGGTTTCCCAAATTTAGTACGAATGAAAATGTGCACCAGGTCAGAGGCCTTTGTGGATATCAAATGTAAGGGTAAAAATACAGTTAATTCTCTTACCTGGCATTCCCAGGGTAAGGGAATTGCTGGTTATGTAATGTAAAAACTTTGGTTATCTGAAAAAACTTGGCAGGGTTTTCTGATGGGGGAAAGGGGGCAGCGGCACCAGCAGCAGTCGTGTGAGCTTCCCTCGTGTCTGACCAGCTGGCTGGAAACTCTGGTTAGAGTATTCTGGTTGATGAAGTACTGGATAACAAAGATTTTACTGTAGAAGCCGGTGGTGATTTGTGGGAGATCTTGCACATAAATTAATTACAGGAAAATTATTGTGCAGGGAGAAGGTAAGATGCTGTACCTCTCTTCTCCCGTGGAGCATGGTGCCCCTTGCACCTTCTCCTCAGTGGAAATGACACCTGGATTCTGAGACTGCCGTCCTTACAAACTGAGGAGGCCTGTTTATAGGTTAGAGACAGTTTTGCAAACCTAGATAAGCGTAGCATTGATTGGCAGCATATTATAGTCTAATGTTCATTTCATGCTAGAAATTAGGTTTCTCTGAGATGCCTTCCACTTCCCTGCTAAGCGACCAAGCACATCGTTAAAATCCCAGATAGTGTTAAACACACTCAAGGACATAGGTGAGTTGACCAACTTTCAAATGTGTATTTTTTATTCTAAATAAAGCCGTCTACACACCAAATGTATCTTGGATATGCACTAATTAAAAACATTTTAAAGAATAGCTTAAGTTCTATACAGCAAAAAGTACTTTACATGTTAGTAGGGTTTAACTCTACATTATCTTGGCTGCAAAATAATGCTTTGTAAGCTAGTGTTAGAAAAAATATTGTTTGCAAGTAATAGTTATTTTGCCTGTAAACTTCTGAAAATAAGTTAAGTACACCTTGGTCTCAATGACATACAAAGCTGTTACATTTACTAGATTGCCATAACATGGCTTTATTCACAGATTGCTGTAGACAAACCTCTGAACTGACAGTTCATTCCCTCTAGATAAACACCACCAGTGGACTGCAAATACTGAGAGCATTCCGAGTGTTATGAACTCACACATGTTTACCAAAGGACTCTTATACTTTACACCACCACTTGGAGAACCTACTTCACAGCTTGGTAAATCCCAACACACGATTTAAGGCTGCTGAAGGGGCATGAATGGTACAACTACACTCACAACCTGGTTCATCAGTTATTTACCAGCCAGTGGCACAAAGACTAGGATTGCTTTTGGTCCCTCTGCTTATATACAAATGTGCATTGATAGGGCCTTGCCCTCTCTACACCTTATGGAGCTTCCTGCAGAATATTTTCTACCCTTCCAACTGCAGCATTCTTGTAAGGCAGTCTCGCTCCTCCTGCTCTGAGATCTATCTAAGGTATTCCTGTACGTGAAACGATCACATTTCCTTCAAAAGTACAAATGATTGACCTGGAATTGAACTTTTAAGATGTCTGACTAAAAAGGAAAAAGTGAACACCTGAGGGTTTTCCTTTTCAACAAAAAGATGTAATTTAATACAGAAGAGTAATTAGGAACATTAAATCTCTAAAACAACCAAACAGAGCTGCTAATGCAGTGGTGAGGGAACACTACCCAGAGCCTAGATTGAATATTGAGTCACTTTAACAAGCTCATTTTTAACTTATGTTCACATTAAATTAGAACAGCAATTTAAATCAATTTTCTTTCAAGTAATATTATCTTGGGATGAAGAGCTACTCAAAATGGTGCCCACTGCTTTGGCAAATACCACAAGAAAAAATTGCCATGAGGAATCTTGCTGAAGAAGGTAAAGAAAGAAACCCCTAAAGGCACTGAACTTTCCTCTAGCAACAGTGCTACAACACTGCTCTAACACATGACATGAATTTTATATTTAAACGTGGAAGATTAATTAAAATCTACACTTAGTAAGCCAAAGTGAGAATTATTAATGGCTTTTTTTTGAATGGGTACAGGACGGAACTTGTGCAAGTGTCAAACAGATCAAAGCTAAGTGTCAGAGAGGCTTTGCTGCTACCAGCGAGTGGGTAATTAGCATTTCACAAGTCTTTGTGGCATGCCTGACCAGCCACCAGCATTTCTTGCAAAAATACCAGCTTTGGTATTCTGGTCTGCTCTGCAGCTTCTGTTCCATCAGTGAGGCATTTGCTACTACCAGTACTTCAAACTGAGCTGTTGGCTTATCTACACAACCTCCTCTGAGCCCTAGAATTTCCAAGCTAAACTTAGGGGCTTTGCACAAGCATCATCCTTGAACTAGATACAGGACACCTCTTCCCCCTTATCTACACCTCTACCCCTGCCCCATGAGTGGCTGATGATGAAGTAGAACATCAGCATAGCACTCGCTCTGTAATTCACTTAAAACATTTGGCATGAGTTCACAAGTCCTTTGCAGATAGCAGGCAACTAACTGGGTGACTCGTTTTTAGCTGAGTCGGAGGACATGGACACATTGTGTACTGTAGGCAGGACCTCGCTCATATAATTTCAGGGCTGACGCCCCGCATGCACTACACTGGGACTGCGCTGTATTTGGGATTTCTGCCTCAGGGTTAATTGGAATGTAGGGTGCTCCCTCATTTCACCTGAGCTAACTGGAGCACTGTGGGTATTTAGTTACAAAAATCAAGGGTTAGATAAGGCAGGTAAGGACCTTGTTGGGAAATCCCAGATGTGCTATACACAGCAATAGTAGTACATTGTGCCGAACAATATAAAAATTATGCTAGACTTTTATCACCCCCCCCTTTTCCAGCCTCTAATTCTAAAAATAACATTTAGTTTACAAACAGAACACTTCATTCATGCTATCAGGAAAACTGCTAGCTTTATACAGTTGAGAAACTTGTGAACTACTTAATGAAAATGGCGTGGACTAAACTAACTTTTTTTCTATCTTGGGAGATAGATTTAACACTGTTTGATTTGGTCCCTGAAATAATGACGATGCGATGCAATGTGTTTATTTCCGCAGTATCAAACATTCAGCTCCTCAAGAATGGGTTGGTACATTTACAACTAGATGAAAAAAATGGTAGTAGTAAGAGGTCATGAACAATAGCCAATGAAAGGTGAGATGTCCTTAAAACAGCCAATTGAGGAGGTCTTTCATTCTGTGTATAATCTACTTGGAATTTATAAAATGAGATAAATACCACTTACTTTAAAGAAAAGAAGACTTTCACATTTTAGGCCCTGGAGAGACTTCTCCTACACTTCTACTAATATTAAAGGTGTCATAGGTGATAATTTTTCATGTGTGTAAACATATCTGCATATTTGTGTGTGTAGGAGAAGGAAAGGACAAGCCCTGGAATTAAAATCATGATTTTAATCCATAGATTAAGACCATAGTTTACCCTCACAGATTGACCAGGTGGCAGGCCTACAAAAGCCATTCTCACAAGAAGGTTTCTCTTCACTTGCACTGGGAGCAATGGTTTCTGCAGGTTTGCCTTAAGGTTTTTTAAGTCTTTCTTCAGCCAGCTATTCAAGCCCGGGTGAATGGGCACACAAGTGTGTGTATGCCAAGGAGACTGCATGCATAGGCATTATATTCGCACACGTTTGCATCTGCAGATATTTGACAGTCTAGCTCAACAGACCTTCCTCTCTGACGTCTTACACTTAAGCAACAGTTTAAATGGTCAAAGTGGTGAACAATAGCTCACTATACATACAGCCTCCCAACCTGACTATGGTACCAGTAGCTCTATTTTAGCAATTTGCCACATCTCAGCAGTGCTCTGGTCTCATCCACGTGCATTTTTTCTTCTCATCAAATAAGGCTTTTACTTGCAGAAACTGCTTCAGGGCTTCCTCTTGTCCCCCATCTCTCTCAAGCCTAGTCAGGATCTGTTTACAGTAGTGATGGAAGGGGAAGGGAGGGCAAGAAAGAAGAGATTTAGTGGTTGGTACTTGTTTCATTTTTTTAAGTCACATCTTCAGAACAGCTTAGTGGTAAGGTCTGTCTGAACTTGTGTCTATATATAACATTTTCTTCTAACATTAACATACTAATTTAGTACCTCTCTTTACAAGTCATTATAATCTCAGGATCTATAACACCTACAACACTTCTACTGAAAATAGCAATTCCAATTAAAAAAACAACCCACAAAGCTCATTTACTAAACATGAGGCCAGCCTGGTGCCATCATTCTGCGTGGTAGACAGCTTCATTTCAAATGGCTCCCTTCTGCCCTTCTCTGTAAACTATTGGTAACCAGGTGTACTATGTCCTGGAAGTAGCACACGGGGCTTCACAGAAGAACCAGGGGGGCCTCAATCACAATGGTGGGTAGGGATTTTCCTAGGAAGAAGCTGACTTGCTACAATCTAAAAGTGGTCTGTAGCTTAAATCTGCGGGATGAGGAAGTACTTCTGATAGCTACAGCTGGCATGGGGGAGGACTAGCAACTTGGGAAACTGCCTTCATCAGAAAAAGGGCAGGCATTGTGTGCTAGGACAGCAAAAGACTAGTCGTGGCCAGGAGCAGAACATTTGCTGTGATACCCTGGTAAGGAATTTACTCTGTGGAGTTGGCTTTAATAAAGTAATAGCTATAGCGTCAATGACAGAGTCCAATCTTACATTATCAGGTACAGGACTGTCCAACGTCAGAGTGGGCAGGGGCTGCATCCTCCCAGGCTGCAACGCCCTAGCCTTCACTGCACCAAAACAGTGCTTCCATGCTGCCCTGAGCCTTCCTCTAGGGGTGGGGGAAGGCAGGGGGAGCTGAAAGAGAGAAGGGGAGCCTGGACACCCTGTCAGCATCCACAGGAAAGAAATGGGGAGAGCAGTCCTCAGACTGGAGCACATGAGTTGCAGCTTAACCCCTTAAGGGCCACATGTAGTTTGCAAGCTGCTAGCTGGACAACTCTGATCTGGCAGAATGAATCCCGAATCTCTAAGTGAAACGCAAACCCTAAGATGCTGTAGAACACATGGTCTTACTGGAGTTTCAGGAAGAATTTAAATACACTTGTGTGAAAAAAAATGATGGCAGGAGACAAGATGTGTTTTGAATTGAGTTGTAGTTTATCTGGGCAAATTACTCTTGCTGGGCATTCATTCTGTGCAGATTCAAGGACTGACACCTGCTGAATCATTAACACCCATCTTTGATGTGCCAGAAGTGTGGTCACCAACCTTTTCAGGTTGCAGGCTGGAATGACCCAGTGCGGGTCAGAGGAAGACAGGCACTAGTACCTGGCTGCTGCAGCAAAATGAAAAACAGAAGTGCGTGCCACTGAAGCCCTATGTCTGCAGGCCATAGGTTGTTAACCCCCGTGCTAGAAGGTCTGACAGGTATTGCCTGGGCTATACCTCGCTTAACTTGGATGTAAGACTTCACAAGCCTGAAAACACCGATCAACACTAAAATGGAATAAGATGAAACAACATGTATTCTTACTTCCTCATGGTAAGTTTTTATGTATCTGTAGATTGCAGTCAAGGCCACTTCCTCATTGAATTCATTTTCATGTTTCTGCAACAGAAGAAAAAGCTGGTGAGACGCTTCTCCTTTAAGCACAACAAGTTGGTAAAGTGTCTACTTAACAATACCTTAGATTCCTGAATTAAAAAGTCTTCTACTTCTGAAGAGGACAATGGAGGCAAATCCCTGATTGCTTTATAGTAAGCTTTCACCTCCTCCTTGTAAAGTGGAATATCCTTGGCATAGAGAAGTTTATTTGTTGGTGCTTCCTTTAAAAGAAAAACATAATTTGAAGCACAGTCAAGTTTAACAGCACACATTTGCCTCTGAGCCCACCTCCACACAGTTGAGTAGTGTGTTTGCTGCATTTTCCTTTTGTCTGATTCATTTGGTTTGCAGTGCTTACACGCTAAGAGCCAAGATTATTTCTGAAATGCAAGACATAGAATAAATGCTGAGCTTTGGCAACATAAAGCATTGCATTGCATGACAGCTAGTGTATAATTATTTCTACTGGTCTCAGGAGTATTAATTAAAATATCTGCCCCTTCAGTACACTGTACTTATTTTTCAGGCAATTTAAAGCTTCTGAAAGCTGAAATTATATACAGAATATGGGAAGTGGCTGTTCAGGCTTCCCTAGATACCTGCTGGAAGAACTTTATAAACCCTGCCTGACAATGGACTTCCATCCATCAGGAATAGGATAGTGTTATGAGTTTTCAGTAATGACTATTTTAAATATTGTGTGCACTTTTAATTAAAATATCATCATCAGCTTTTAAATATGAAAAATATGCTTTTTTTCCAAGCAACTGAAGAATGTTTAAATTTATAACTAAAAAATAATGCAACTATTTTATGGCGTTTTCAATTCTATAACTGCATTCTTAATGCATGTAACCAATACAAGCCATTGTATCAGCAGGTTTATAAGGGAAATGGTCCATAGAACAGTGAGCATAAATGTAACAAAGTCAAGTCTCAAATGTTCAGTGGTTTGGTGTTTTCCATCAAACCAGCAGTGTATTTAGTTTTAGTTCAAGACATCTCAAGTCCTATAGTCAAACAGAAGCATATTTTCTTTTTTTTTTAATTAAACTTTTATGGATGGCCAAAGCAGTTCAGATGAAACAAGAAATGACTTGTTTTTTATATGAAACATGCTTTTAGGCTCAAAAATGTTTAGTTAATATTTTTTTAGCCTTATATACTTCCAGTCTGGGGGCGGAAGAAGGGGAAGTATTGGCAAATCCCCCCGCCCCGCCACTATTTTTAAAGCATTTCTGACAGATAAGATGTTCTAGAAATTTCATGATAGTGCATGTCTTCTGAAGTTTTACAGACTGAGACCTCAAATCAAAGAGGTTATAATATATTCAGGTAAGCAGCCAATACACTGCAAAGAGAACAGCATAACATCTCCACCATTAGGCACTTTGCCAGCTATGCAGCAATCTTAGCTGAATACTACACTAACATTTTACAGAAAGATCTGACTTTCCAATCAAACTGAGAATACATATGACATTTCCTTGTGAAATCCTTCATTGCTTTATCCATCAGGATTATTCAATTCCATATTTTTGCATGAGAGGCAATGGAATTCTGGCCTTTTTTAAGAAAATAGGAGTTCTGCCTTTCATTGACTTCAGTATCTGGGGTTAGAGGTGCACTGATACATTGGTCTAATATCAGACAGGTACCTGGTGTTTGGGCAGAGGTGGGGCGTTGAACCAGGGCTGCGGCTGGCAGTGCCTGGAGAGGAGCAGCAGCTAAATTTAGGGTGGATGCAGCAACCTCCCAGTGCCGCCGGTGCCCGCTCCGAGCCCAGCTCCTGCTGAGAAGAGCCCCACACAGCCCCACTCTACCCTGCGCTGATCCAAGGGGCACACGCCCTGCACCCCCCGGTCCCATTGCAGGTTGCAAGCAGCGGCAGAAGCTACCTTCCCCCGCCCCCCCGCCATGAGCCGTGGCTCCGCCCCCTCCCCGCTCTGCCTGGGCAGCACCTGCCCCCTAACTCACTGTGGGAGGCATTTATCTGCCCCCCGCACACCCTTTCACCACACCAGACTTATCAGCTGGAGGCAGCTGTATCAGAAATCAGATCGGTATCTGCCTATATGCCTCTTTAAATATCGGCTATTGGTATCAGCTCCAAAAACCTGTCAGTGCACCCCTATTTGGGGTTTTACCCCTAAAATATTGCACGGTTAAAAATATTTTTTGCTCAGGAAACCGAGAAGGCCAAGCATTACCTTTCCCAGCTGATGTTCTGTTAAAGAAAAGGCATCCATGAAAGCTTGTGCAATTACTGACAAACAACCATCTATATGTGGAGTCTTCTTAATATCAAAGACAAACTGGGGGTTCTTCAATATATTCACCCAGAAGCGAAGAGGAAGACTGGTCAGAGAGAGAACAAACAGTTTTAATTCAACAGCTCCAATCAGATGACAAGACAATATTTGGCCTCTAGCATACTATCCAAATAGGCACAACCCTGACGTGCTTATTCATTGCAAGGAGGAATAACAGTGAGTGTTACAAAGCTAGCAAAAAACCAGCCAAGCCCACTACAATTTATTCCAGAAGCTATGATGTTTTATACCATAATACCCCTCTAGTTGCTGTATTACAGTTACCCTATTGGCATGGTTTGACTACATCAGGGTTTGTCAACTGGGGGTACCTGTTCCCCTGGGGGTACTTGGCAAGGCCCTAGGGGGTACGCGTGGGTGAGTGGGGATGGAGCGCCACCGCCCTCCCAGCCAGGAGCAGGGGTGGAGAGAGGGCAGCAGCAGCCCTCTGCACTGCTGTCAACACCATCCACTACCCTGTGCTGTCACTGCTCTGCATCCAGCTGCACCCCCCAGTCTGGCCAACCGCCAGGGGTACAGTTACTAAAAAAGGCTGAAAACCCCTGGACTACATGGATCCAAGATAAGTTAGTGAGCAATTTAAAGATTCTGAGCTTTATGAAAAATATCACTTATGGTCACCATGTAACACCCAGATTATGTAATAAAGCTTGGCAGTTGTTATTGTAACAGCTCTCATGCTCATGGTTAAAAGCATCCCACTGTAGTTTCTCAAATACACACTGAGAAAGTATGTGTGGGCCGCGTGCGCGCGCGCACACACACACACACACACACACACACACACTATGTACCTGTTGGTTTTCCATATATGAACCACATCAGGATCTGTGATCTTTTTACTTTCAGCCTGAGCATCCAAGAAGTCAAAAAAGTATTTGATAGCAACAGGGGCTTTATTGTTAGGTAAGCTCCAGATGCTTCTGAAGAGCTTTTCAACAACGGAATGAATTGCAACCTGAAAAGCAAAAGAAAGTCATTCTACTATTATGTGAAAAGGACGAGATTTCTTGAGATGAGGGGGAGGGCAAATGCACCCCAGGGGAACTACACTTAGAAACTCAAAATGTCTTTGCGGTAAACACCTAAAACTGACAAATGGGATGATCGCAACTAAAAAGGAAACTGAAAACATCACTGTGAGCTGCCCTGATGTGTCACTAGTTATGTATCTTTGTTTTGTCAACAGGGAAAATTGTAGTAAAACTTAAAAGTGAACCGTTCATGGAAGGAATGGCTTGTGGCTGTTCCTGCTTTTTATGATGCATCAAGAAAACATCAAACATTTTTTTCTAAGGTACTGTTTTTACCCTTTTTAATGATATCTGATAGATCTGCAATATGTCACTTCTTATTTGGGGTTTGGAGCAGGAGAGAAGTTATTAAGATTTCTAGGCTAGAGCACAGGTCTAGTGGTGTTACAAGTGGATCTGCAGTTTTTCCTCCTTGCTGATGACTTGGTGTTGTTTTAGTTTTAACCCTTGTCTACACTGCAAAGTTCTGTTGGCAAAGCTGTCAGGTAGAGGTAAGAAAAGATCACATCCCGTAGACAACATAGTTCTGCAGCAAAGCCTCTGTTGTTGGGTGCAACTCTCCCAGCAAGAAGCTTGTTCTTTTTGCAGGGCTGTGGTAGCCAAAAAACTCCTGCTTTCAAAGATACATCCACACCAGAGGGCTCAGCAATGTCAGCAGCTGTTGGTGTAAGTAAAGCAGCCTCAGGCTCAGTCCCTGTAGTGTAACCATAGCCTGAATTTAAGATTACAGTTTTGGTTGTCACTTGGAAAACTAGACAAACAACTCTGTCTCTCCCCGCCCCCACCCCCGCCCTCCTCTCCTTGCCAAGGAAAAATCCTATCCTCACAAAATAGGGAACGAGGACAACTTACTGAAAAATTCCCTGACACTCTTCATACAGTATTATTAACATACATACAGTGGCAAACACAAATGCCCCCCTTTGTTTTCTATTCTGCCTTGTAATAAGGTTTGAATCCCGTTTTTAAGACCAATAGCAAGATAGGGCTGCTGATAACCAGGGATCCTGGTTTTCTCTGATAAAGAAAATCTGCGATTTTCAGATTTTAAAAAGTAACCCAAAATCCACATTTTTTCTTGTGATTAAAATGAAATACTGCTATTATATTATATTTATATATAAAGTGTTTCATTTTAATCATGAAAAAATGTGGATTTGGGGTTACTGGGGTTACTTTTTTAAATCTGAAAATTGGGATTTTTTTTTAATCAGAGAAAACCAGAATCCCTGCTGATAACTTCCTGACTGGGTGCTGGCTACTTTGGTTGCAGTAACAAGGTCAACTACAGTGCACACATAAAGGGGGTCAACACAGTGACATTTCATATGATCTTTGGGAGACACAAGTTCTATCACAGCAATCTCAAAGCACTACTTTATCCTAATGCTGCTATGTGCAGCATAATGCCATAGCCTCAATAGATGATTGAGGAATGCCTCAGTGCCTTAATGGATCTGGTATTGGCAATGGGGGATGACATGGTTGGGGACCTACAGATCGGTAGCCATCTGGGGGTCAGTGATCACCTAATAATAGAATTCTTCATTAGACGTCGAGTGGGTAAGGTAACTAGTAGGGTGAAAGTGCTAGACTTTAGGAAAGCTGATTTCAATGAACTCAGGCGATTAGTCAAGGACGCACTGCAGAGTAGGAGTTTTGAAGTGATGGGGGCCCAAGAAGGGTGGCTGTGCCTTAAGGAAATGATCCTTCGGGCACAAAGGGAGATGATCCCGATGCGAGGAAAAAGAGGGAAAGGGGCCAGGAGGCTTCCTTGGCTGACCAGAGAAATCCAGGGCAGCCTACAGGCCAAAAGGGGAGCACATAAAAAGTGGAAACAGGGAGAGATCACCAAAGATGAATATACCTCCTCTGCTCGTGCTTGTAGGGAGGCAGTTAGACGGGCCAAAGCTACCATGGAGCTGAGGATGGCATCCCAAGTAAAGGATAACAAGAAATTGTTTTTTAGATATATAGGGAGTAAAAGGAAGGCCCAGGGAGGAATAGGACCCCTACTAAATGGGCAGAAGCAATTGGTGACAGACAGGGGGGACAAGGCTGAACTCCTCAACGAGTTCTTTGCCTCAGTGTTCCTAAGCGAGGGGCATGACAAGTCTCTCACTGGGGTTGTAGAGAGGCAGCAGCAAGGTGCCAGACTACCATGCGTAGACCCTGTGTCAGACTCAATGATCTATTGAGGTCCCTTCCGACCCTAACATCTATGAATCTATGATTAATTGAAAGACATTTGAAAGACTGTTTCTGGTTTTTTGTTCCCAAGCCTATAAATGTACTTCTTCCCCAGCAGACAGTTCATGGATCAGTTTTCCAGCACTGGATGTTACTAGGCCAACATCTGGGAAACTGCAAGGGCATAATTCACTTTTGTGGCTCTCTGGCACATGGCCCATCTCCTCTCTTTTTGGACATTAGGTATTAGCATACCACAAGCAATTATATATTAGATGATTTATAAGGTGAGGAGGGCCATAATAATCTAATCTATACACCTGCATAGAATTTCTTCCAATACATATACTGATAACATTTTAAAATAATATGTTGCTGCTAAGAGTTTTATATGTTGTTGGATTAATTAATACATAATAAACCCCTCATTAATATGTAACAAAGTATTTTTTGGTGAAAGAAGCAGTTGTTGCTCCTAAAGTTGTATACCATGGGAATCAGACACCCTAACTGTAGGAGATACCATCTCAAACTTCAAAATTAACTTTCAGGGTCCAACTTGAGACACTTGACTCTCAGGCAGATGGCCAGTGCTCTGAAAATCAGGTCTCTTTTGTTGGGTTTCTAAAACTCAGGCTTTTGAAAGTTCAGGCTGAAATCTCTCTCTCCAGTGGTTGAAATCTATGGAAATCAATAGCAAAAATTCATTTTTTTTTTTTGTTGCTTTTTCTGGAAGCACAAGAAAAAAAGTCTAAAAACTCAACAAGCCAAACCCCCATTATTTATAGGGCTTTATGCTAAAAAGGGAGGGTTGAAACTATTGGGGCAATGTGTTAATAGATACCTTTTATCTCTTAGGTTTTAGGGTTCCACTGTGCCAGTCTAAAATGCAGAAGGGTTTCTGCAGTGGGTAAAAATCTGTAGCTATCAGGGTGATTTTGAAACTTTACATTTTTAACTGCCATACAGAATTTGCATAATTTCCGGTCTGATTTCTGTTTGTGCTGAGCTAAGCATAAGACCAAACCTACTCTGAAATAAAACTCTCTGTTACCTTGGTAGACAGCAGCTTTGTCAGATACATTTCTTTTACTTTGAATTTCTGCTTTCCTTTGGTTTTTGCTCCCTGAATATCTTTCACTGTTTCAGAGTTTGGTAAAATCTACAGTAAAAAGATTATAGATGTTATACAGACACGATCTTTCAGCATTAAGAAAACCTGCCATTTAATTTTGCATTTAACTCACCAAATGACAGTATTCATCAGAGTAATCCACATCTAAAGAACAGAAAGGGGAGCGGGGAGGGGAAAGAATAAATCAGTCAGTCAGTCACATAAACTAATGGGCATTTTTAAGGCTAGTTTATGTTTTGACTTTTCTCTCATGAAGTCCAAGCCTCACTGTACACTCCTAAGCAAACTAACCAGAGCTTAGGTGTCCTGAGGGGAAGAAGTGCCATACTTACTCTCTGAACAGCACATGAGCTGAGAGGAGCTGAAGAAATGGGTGGAGCACTACTACCAAACTCTTACCCTCCACCTGTCTTTGGTGAGCACAGCTGTGCCAGCACAAGGCTGGCATGAAGTGCTCCTTCTGTAGCAGGAATTTGCAATTCCAAGGTTTTATTCATGCTTAAAAGTCTGTGATGTAGTCAAGCCCTAGAGGGCAGGCCGAGGTCAGCTTTTGCCCTGGAAAGCACGTACAGGCAAAAGGTTTCTTTTCGGAAAAATGGGCCGCAAATGGGTAAGCAGGCCATAGGGGATGGGAGAGCAAGATCAGCCTGCAGCATCCCTGGAGTACAAGTGCAGGGAAGCTTTGTGCCTGTGTGTATCCTGCAATTACCAGTGTGTTATTGAAACAGCTGAGTCAGGAATCCTAAGAAGCTTCGAAATGTGAATAATGGAACAAAAGGAGGACTCTGAAGTTGTGTATTGCTTATTACTACAGCTATCCAACTGCTCAGCGTCCTCAGTGCAACCTCATTCTCAGTGGCCTGTGCACCTGTGATTTTTACACTTCCTTGTCTTGCTTAGTCTCTGCATCTTTAAGCATCCCCGTGTCTGTGATTTGTTGCTTTTTTGTCCCTTTTTTTGTCCTGCTCCCCGTGATGCCCTGCTGTGCTGCTGTCTGTCACAGACCCACAGCCAGATTAAAACAGTTGCCTCTTTTGCTTATTTCCAGTGAACTGACATGTTTCTGACAGTGTCTTCCTGAGATGCAAACTACCAGGAACAAAAACCTCTACAAAGTTATTACTAATCCTTTAGTCTTTTTATTAAAATAAAAATAAAACAGTTCTTGGTTGTTTTGTTACCTGGTGTTTTCTTTTTAAGGACTTTGACAGTTGCACCATCCGAAATCTGAAAGCAAAAACAAAATATAAATAGGTATGACCCGTAACTAAGGAAGACCTCGATTTCCTTTCCTCTTCCCTATCATACACGTTAACTCACAGTGTGAGCTGTGCCAGCGTTCTCTATCCTCCACACAGCATTCACAGCAGGTCTCACTCAGTGCTGATTTTCAGAGTCGCCAAGGTTTGAATTTCTCTCTGGAACTGTGTGAATAGCACTCCTCTGAAAACAGGTGCTTGAAGGCTTTCTCTTTTGCCAAGTTTTGCTCATTTATTCTTGCTCTGGCTATTACTCTTTAGGTTTAGTAACCCATCCCAGGCACTGTTTTGTGGTCTTCTGTATATTATTATTCCAGTGCAGTGGGGACCAACATTTTTGTCTGGAGTGTCACAAATGAAACCCTGTGTTCTCCCTGAGTACCATTCCAAGCCCTTGCCCCTGCCAATCTGCTGCTCTGCTTTTTTCTCCCTACTATCTGCTGCTCTGATTGCTGCACCCTGACCTATCTGCTGCTGTGTTGCCTGCTCCTTTCTCAATCTGCTGCAGGCCACACAAAGAGGCTGCCCATGCCACTTGTGGCACACATGCTGCAGGCTGGCACCCCCTCTGTTTCAGTGGCTTCTCTGCAGGATTGGTACAAGGATGAGGTGCCCCTTAACTCAATCCAAATCTCCACTGGGAGGGAGGGGAGAGGATGGTGTTGAAGTGCACAATGCTTTATGCCCCTTTCTGCATGGGAAGGAGAGTCCTGTGGGTCTATGGGGTGTGGATGACCTGGACTCATGTGTCTTAAGAGCTGGGTTCAACCTTCAGTTTACAGAATGATTAAGATATCAGTGTCATGTAAAATTCTGCTTTGTTTTTATACACTTGAAGTTAGCTGTCCAGGTGCCTTGAGATTTCTAGGAAAAATCCAGGTCTTCCCTCCTTGAATAAACACTACTGTGTTCAGGCAGTAAATATTCTCTTAAAAAGAAAACAGTGAGTCACACTCTTGCAGTCAAAGAACGACTCCAAAGCTAATCCTGTGGAGTACTCTGGCAATGCTCTGCTGTTGAATGCTGTGTTTTGCCAAGTGCTAGCATACTGTGCTCTATAATTACAAAAACAACTGGCCAGCCCTACACCGGGAGCACTGCCAAAATAATGTAAATGTCTTTTAAAACTGTGGCAGCACGCCCAACCTGGAAACCAGCTTAAACATTAAGTTAGTTTATCCAAAGCTGTGCCTCATGCCAAAGAAACCTGGCCCATACGCTTGCGCTTGGGAGATAAACATGGATTATTTTACAAGGATATGTATTTTTAAAGAAAAGGTCTTCTTTTTATCAGGCAGTGCCTCCCAGCTCATGCACACCTACAGGAACGCTTTAGCATAAAGCATTTTAAACCACTGTAATGACAAATTTTCTAGGGCTAGTTTTTGTGACTTGGAATGAGCCTCCCACACAGGGATCAGAGGAAGAATAAGACTCCATCCTACCAGGATCTTGGGTTTGGGCACACAGGTGTCAGCTGAGTTCAGTAAAGCCTTGTTTCCAACCTGGTGCCCTTTAGGCATTTCAGAGGAGAGGCAGTGCAGTATTTTACTGCTGAAAGAGAGCAGTTACCTTTCAGGGGTGAGGGAGAAGCAGAGAAGAAATTGTTCTTTCTATGGGAACTGATGACAATAGGGCAGCTCAACTTTGGGCTGTGTCTGAGACACATGCTGGCCCTTTGCATCTAAACAGAAAAAAACCTCTTCCTTTCTGACTGTAGCTGCTATTTTTTCACCATGACATATGTAAAAAAGAAGGCCTTTCTAACTCTCCTGATGCCTAAATAACTTGTTCACACCTTAACTGCTTCCATGGACAATTGAATCATTGCTGCTCTGCAAGGTCACATCTTCAGGGCCAGATGCTCTCATGTCTTTTCTGCATAGGGTACAGGCAATGTAGAAGAGGCAGGAGCCTAGCTCTGCCTGTCTTCTCCTGCACAGCTCCCTAGGACCCATATATGCTGGATCATTGGATATTACATTCATTACAGTTTTTTTGACCTTGTACCCCTGGTCCTGCATAAATCTGAAAGCAATGACTAGAGAGCAGGTATGAAAACTGCCGCCTGACTTCATCCTTAATGGGAGGTCCAACCTCATAGTGACTACTGGCTGCCTTCATGGCAACAATAGTGCAAATATAATATATGGCACACCAGTGTCTCTAGTCAAGAAAAGTAAGAGTAGTAGAGTAAAAGGAATATGCAGAGCACGGAGTGCCAAGGAGTACTGGGAGGAAGTAGGTGAATTTTGTCTTTTGTAGAATACAGCCAAACCCTACAAAATTAAATACAAAGCCCTTGTATTAACACAGCATTAAAGCTGCTCTCTCAACTTAAAAGCTAAAAGTCAAGCATTGCAAACTGCCTAAATCTCCAAAGAGCAACAAGTGATTTTGGGTGCCTTCGTGTGTTTGCACATTCAGTTTGAGAGACCTGGAAGAGGCCAGATGGTACTAGTACTTTCTGACAAAAAAAAAAAAAAAAAAAAAAAATCAAGCTAGTTTAGGTTGGGCAGTCAAAAAATTGTCAGTCATTTTTGAAAATGATGGCCAAGGTGCCTAGAACACCATTAATGAGGCATTAGAGTTTATATATTTTCTTTTCCTGTTTTTCAAGTGGATATATTTGCATTCTCCTTCCTATTGTTAGATGCTTCCAATAAAATTGGAGGATTAAAGGAGTCAATACTTACTGTAACACTAATTGCTCATGCATAAAATATGAGATTTTCCATATCACACTATTTCTGGTCAGATAAAGTGAACTTATGCCTGATAGACTCCCAGAAGGATTTTTGTATGTGGTTGGTAAGATATAATTGGTCTAGTTAAAAATTTGCAAGGAAAAACAAAAACAGCCTGGAAATTAACTTGTTTTCCTACACTTGAAACATTTACACAGACAGTTACAAGAACATGGCCAGTGACCAGCTAAACCACATTTATGCTGTACAAAGAACAGAATTTGTGACTTTAACCTGTGTCCACTACCATCTGAACATACTGAGTGCCTGCACTAGCTTTCTGTAGAAAATGGGGCTTATATTATCTCCACAGACCAAACACATGAGGGGAGGTAATCAAATACTTAATCAGATCTAAATTTATCCATTTCTGAGCACTGTTACATATACATTCAAGTTGAAGTTGCAGGTCTCCAAATATGTACAAAATGTTGACTCATTCAAAGAAAGCTGCAACACTATATCTGGAGCATTCACATGACACAAGAGTATAGAAGACAGGCAGAGGAAGGGTTGGGTTTAAGGCACTGGACTGTAACTTAAACCCAATTCTGTCTGCCACAGACTCCCTCTGGGACCCAAGGAGAGTCAAAATTTCAAAAGAGAACTCAGTATCTTCAATCAGCCAGCCTCTGATTGATCCAGTTCAAGCATGGATTTTTTAAAGATGGCAGCACACAGTGGTTACTTAACCCTTTTCAAAACCTGGTTGTTGGACCTGTTTTACCAGAAGAAATAGGTTCCTAATATGACTGCACTAATTTCATTCTTACCCCATAGTGACCAATGGTGTTTAGCTTTGTTTTCCCATCTTCCAGAATCGGGGAGGACTCGTCTATATCTGACAGTTCTTTTTGCTGTGCACCAGACTGAAGTTCTGTAAAACAATCACAACAGAGAAACTATCACACACTAAACCAATCCCCATTCCCCGTATTTTGAATTATATATTATTTTTGGATTGATGATCCTGATCTGAGTTTTGCTAAGCACCGTCTGTGTGCTAGTTCCTATGAGTGTGATTTAGTAGGCTCTGGACCATCTTGGGACTGGACCACTTGGAGGCATATCCCTTTAGGCCAGAGGTGTCAAACATACAGCCTGTGGACTGGATTTGGCCTACAGACCTGGGTCATTTGGCCCTTGATGGGTGGACAGGAGAACCTTCCTGAGGCTGTATCCAAATGCCTGGGTGTGGGAAGAAGCCCAGTGGCTTGTTCCTGGGGTGATAGCCAGGCACCCAGGTGACAGCTGCCCCACTGGAGCTCCAGCAGCACCATGGGAAGAAGCCCAATGCCATAGCTTATTTCTAGGGAGGCATACAAGCGCACAAGATGCCAGAGTCTCTTGCCACAGAATCCTGGACCAGAAAGGGGTGTCCATGAGCCCATTCCAGCCCAAGGGGCCAGCCCTGCACTAATCACCTGACCAGTGGACTGACTTTTCCCAGCATCTGGCCCATGGGGCCACCCCTGGCTCAGGCTGTTCAAACCACAAAGCATCTAGTCCAATGGTTTCCAACCTTTTAAAGTATGAGATCACTTTTTTAATTAAAGTGCAACCCAGGATCTACTGCATGCTACCCTCAAGTCCCCCCCAGCAGATCAGTCCAAGGGGGCGGTGGGGAGGAAAGGGTGGGGGTGGTGCACGGTAGATCCTGCGTTGCACTTTAATTAAAAAAGTGATCTCACTGCCCCCGCAGTGAGGGAGGGAGTGGAGCAGAGGCAGGGACAGGGGTGAGTGGGGCCCCGGACAGGCTGGATGGTGGGAGGACTGGAGCCCAGGTGGTTCATCCAGCTGTGTGGGGGTCTCTCACTGCTGTGTGCACTCCGGCAGAGGCCTGGGGGGCATGTGCCCCCCAATCTGTGTGCACATTTATCCTATGAAAGGTGGTGTATTTTTAACAAGCACTAATGTGTTATATCTTAAGACAGGTAAGGAAGTTGGAGTTTTCATATGCTAAGAATGGCAAGGAACTAGGGTTTTCATATGCTAAGTGGTAGATATAACCCTAGGGGCAAGTCCATAGTTTGACCATTAGTAGATCTATGATTTTCCCTAAAATTTGTAATAATAGTCTTGGACTACCTATTGGCAAAGCCAGAGGCAGATCTCTTAAATAGTAAGCTTTGCAGAGACAGTAGCAAACTAAGAGGATAATGAAGATACAGTGCAAGGTACTCTCTTACCAAGACCAATTTCATCAAGCTGAAGACCATAAAGGGAGCCATTCTTATTTACAAAAGCTTGAAAGATCTTCTCCTTGGCTTGACCTATAGTATCACAATCCAGAACACTGACTGAGATAGTCTGACAGGTATCTGCATTCTCATTATCTGGGTCTTTTTCAAAGATGATATTCAGTGTCTGAAAGAATACAACGTTATTCCAACTAACCGAAAATTGATATGATGCATTATATAAACCTACAGGCTTCACAGTAATGAACACTGAGAATCAAGTGTTATATATAGGATTTAAGAAGTATAACCTTACATTATTTTATTAACAGTAAAGATTGTTCATTGGAGTTAAATAGTGAATCAGCAGACCTACAAAAGATGGGGAGTCAGAAGAAAATATATAACCTACATACTCCAAAACAAAAACATGTTTTTCTTTTGTTGATGTAAGATTCTTAGAAAAGGAGAAAGCGAGGGACTAAAGATTTGATAAGGACACGTACTCAGCAGGTTATCATGATACACACATTATTGTGTTTTTCTTTTTTAACTGGAAGGGATGTTAAAATGCACATAAACACATGCCATTGTTATGGCCGAGTACAACATGTCTGTAATGGACATGCCATGGAAATTTGTGTCCATCAGAAGTCAGCTCCTTCACCACAGGGAGAGGAGCAGAAGCTACTGCAGAAGGGAGTAAACAGCAAGGGTGGAGGGAGAATGGGTGGGCAGAGTTTGCCAGACATGCCAAAGACAGTCCACTGGATAATGAATCAGACCTGCAGATGAAGGCGCAATGGTATAACTAGAAAATTATAAGGATGTTCCCTACAGCTCAGTCACAAACTAGATCAAAGGCCAGCTTATCACAGACTGTGCCCCGAGTAGGATCAGCCCAAGTCTCACACACCATGTAGAGCAGGGGTGGGCAATTATTTTGGGTGCAGGGCTGCTTGATGAGTTTTGGCGAGCTGTCAAGGGTTGCACAGGTAGCCCTGCCCCTTGAGTTGCCCCACTCCCTGGTTGCCATCTTGGGACAGAAAGTCCCGCCCCTTGACCCCTGACCTTTGTCACTGGAAGTCCCTCCCCTTGCACAACTTACTAGGTAGCAAGGGGTTGTGACCCCTCTAACATCCTGCCCCAGCAGTGGGGTTTCAGGGGCATCAGACCTCCCCCAGAACTTTCCCCCTACCTGTGCCAGCTGGTCCCAAAAGGAGGAGGCTCTGGCGCCGCTTCTGCTGGCCGGTGCTGACCCAGTCGGGCTCGCCCCATCCCCGGCAGCACCTGGGAAGCTGGCTTCAGCCGCATGCTGCTCAGGATGGGACGGACCCAGCTGAGTCTGCACCGGGCAGGAAAGGCGGCATGCAGCTGAAGTCAGCTCCTCATGTGCTGCTGGGGACGGGAGGAGCCCGGCCAGGTCTGCACCGGCCAGCAGAAGCAGCAGCGGAGCTGTGTGCCACTTGGGACGGGACAAGCCCGGCCAGAGCAGCAGGGGCTCAGCTGCACTTTCCCCCTGCCTGCACCGGTCAGTCCCAAGTGGCACATGGCTCTGCCACCGCTTCTGCTGGCTAGTGCAGACCTGGCCAGCCTCCTCCAGTCCCCAGCAGCATGTGAGGAGCCGACTTCAGTTGCACGCCACCTTTCCTGGCTGG